AGCCCCCCCCCCCCCCCGTTAGCTGTGAGAAATCCTACTTTTTGCTGCTTTTTATCATCTTAATTGATATGCATCTAGCTGGCTAAAAACAGAGCCAAGCATAGGGCTAATCTTCCAAATAATACCATTTTATGGGCTTTTAAATGTTCATCAAAATCTTATTTCCCCACATTTAATATTACATTGATTTATACTAACAGTTAGGAGCTTCATTTCAGTATTAAATTCACGTGTTATGGACGATCCGCACATAAAACGAACATGATTTAAAAGCAAAATATGTGTTTGTGTTGAGACCCCCTGTTTGCTACAGTATTTGCTATTTCAAGCCTCGTCTTATGGGAGAATACACGGTAAACAGTTATTACCATACACAGTGATGATCAAATCTCTTTACACAGTGACCACACACTCTGCAGTGACCTCCACGACGAGGTTGATGACCTTGACAAAGTTCACACCAGTTACCGTCGACAAATACTGAATCGTCACTAAGCATTGACAAAGACATTTGACCGTCCGACACTGTTCTCTTATGCTGGGATGGAATCTCTGCATAGATGTCTGGTGCTGGTTGTTGATGAAGTTGTTTTTGTGAATTTTCATTGGTTACATCAGTATGTATGAGTCTAGAAGGGCTCCCTCTATGTTGTGAATAAGTCTGTTTTTGATGATTTGTTTCTTCATTTATCACATTATGTCCACTTTCCTGCCTCGATAATGCCACTTTAGTTTTGAAATTCTGACCAATCGAATCCGCTCTTACATAGTTACATTGTGTTACGTCATTATTGATCACAATTCCTGGGTTTAATTTTGATGCATAAAATGCACCAAACATTGCAATAAAACAAATATTCATAGCAAAAAAGCATTCTGTAGAAACATGACCAAGAGGCACAACAAGTCTCATGAACACCAAATACACAACAAGCACTGACACAATACCCCAGGTCATGAAAAATTTTGAGCGTCTTCGATGGCGTAAAAACGATTGGTAGTACATCAGTAGTCCCAAAGGTATGCTAAAGTAGACAATTACTGTTAAGAAAGGGTGTAAAGAGGCTAG